TGGTGGGGTGGAAGTGGTTGGTGGATTGAGTTGGTTGGTGGGTGGTGGAGTGGTGGTGGTGGTGGGTGTGGTGGTGGTGGTGGGGTGGTGGTTGGTTGGTTGGTGGTGGTGGGGTGTGGTGGTTGGTTGGTGGTAGTGGTTGTGGTTGGTGGTTGGTTGGCGGTGGTGGTTGGTTGGTGGTGGGGTGGTGGTGATTGTGTGGTGGTAGTAGTGGTGATGGTGGTGGTGTGGTGGTGGTAGTGTGTAGTGATGGTGGTGATGGTTTGTAAGTAGTAGTGGTGGTGGGTGGTAGTGGTGGAGTTGGTGGTGGTGGTAGTAATAGTTGTGATGGTGGTGATAGTAGTAGTAGTAGTAGTAGTGGTGGTGGTGGTAGTGGTGGTGGTAATAGTTGTATGGTGGTGGTGGTTAGTAGTAGTAGTAGTGTGGCTCTTCTATGATGCTGATCATGCTGCATGGTCTCAAGAAGGGGCTTCTATGCATGAGGCATGACAGGTGGGGATCTCACAAAATATTGAAGAAATCTGCCGGGACGTCATGGTAAGAACAAACCCTCCTTCCATTGGATGGCGAAATCTTCAACACAGGACAAAACATAACGGCCCGTGTGGACGTCAGTGCTCGAGATTCTGGACGCGGGACAGCGACTCGACATCAGGATTTTTGATCCCATGGCGCTTGTCACAACCTAGCTCTCGATGCCTAAGAGGACAAGAACGACAAGAGAAGGGGCATATGGGAGAGAATTCAAAACGTTGATCAAGGCAGCTTCACTCCTCTAGTGTTCACAACCTCTGGTGGGATGGGCCCAAGTGCAAGATGTTTCTACGCCAGACTCGCAGATTGATCTCGAACAGAAGCAGCAGCCAGAAGTTATGTTACAGCCTGGATGAGATGTCGACTGTCCTTCTCTCCTTGGTCGGCTTTGCTCCGCCTCAGAACAGGCTTCTGCCCCAACTCCGACAACTGCTGCAGATAGTGACTATGAGGCTACAGTCACTGAATGCCATAGATCTGCGGCTCAACTAATTTAACACAGATAGGATAGCTTCTTATGTATTAGGATTATTTAATATTAAGTAAATAAATGGTGGCGAAAGTTGTGGCTGTGTTGGGGAGGCTGGAGGCCACGTGGTAGTAGTGGTGATGGTAGTGGTGGTAGTGGTGGTGGTGGTGGTGAGGTGGTGGTGGTGGTGGTGGTGGTGGTGGTGGTGGTGGGTTGTAGTTGGTGGTGGTGGGGTGGTGGGTGGTTGTGGTGTGGTAATAGTGGGTGGGTGGTGGTGGTGGTGGGTAGTAGTGTGGTGGTGGTGGTGGTGATGGTGGTGGTGGTGGGTGTGTGGGTGGGGTGGTTGGTAGTATTTGGGGTGGTGGTGGTTGGTGGTGGTGGTGGTTGGGGTGTGGTGGTTGGTTGGTTGGTGGTGGTGGTGGTGGTTGGTTGGTTGTGGTGGTGGTGGTGGTGGGTGGTGGGTTGGTGGTGTGGTGTGGTTGGTGGGTGGTTGGGGTTGGTTGGTTGGTTGTGGTTGGTTGATGGTGGGTGGGTGAGCTGTTGGTTGGGGTTGGTTGGTTGATTGGTTGGTGGTTGGTGGAGGGTAATTAGTTGGTGGTGGTGGTGGTAGTGGTAGTGAGGTGAGGTGGTGGTGGTAGTGATGGTTGTGGTGGTGAGTGGTAAATGGTGGTGGTGGTGGTAGTAGTAGTAGTGAAGTGGTGGTGGTGTGGTAGTGATGAGTGGTGGTAGTAGTGGTTGTGGTGTGGTGGTGATGGTGGTGGTGTGGTGAGTGGTGGTGGTGGGTGGTGTGGTGGGGTGAGTGGTGTGGTGTGGTGGTGGTGGTGGTTGAGTTGGTGGTGGTGGTGGTGGTGGTGGTGGTGTGGTGGTGGGTGGTGGGTGGTGGGGGTTGGTGTGGTGGTGGTGGTGTGTGGTGGTGGGTGGTGGTTGGTGGTGGGTGGTGGTGGTGGGTGGGGTGATAGTTGGAGGTGGTGGGGTGGTGTGGTGTATGTGGTTGGTTGGTGGTGGTGGTGGTGAGTGGTGGTAGTGGTGGTGGTGGTGTGGTAGTAATAGTGGAGGTGGTGATGGTGGTAGTAGTAGTAGTAGACGGATTGGTTGAAGTGATAGTTAGATTGGTGATGGTTGGTTGGTGGTAGTAGTAGACGGAAAACCAAAACACCAAATGACGTGTAGAAAATTTTGAAACCAAAATGCGGTGCTGGGAAAAGGAGTGTCTCTCATAGTGAGATCTCTATACATGAATCCTCGGTGGAAGTGATGCCAATAAACAGGGCGACATTAAAAATTATTGAAAGAAAAAAACATCCTGCAGAGTAGAATGGGCAGCATCAGGCTCCAGGAATATATCACCAAATGTTGGCCTGTTCGAAGAAATAACAGGAGAGATGAATTGTGAAAAAAAGGCACTGAAGACTCGAGAGCCGGGCCTTCAGATCTGGATGCAAGCAGTTTGGAAGTCATCCTCAGCACTAACAAGTTTGGCCCTATATAAGCAGACTTGCATGCCATTGCCTGCAGAAAGCTTGCATCCTCTTGCTGCCATCACCTCCAGGCTCTGACGGCCTGCCTTATTCCTCTGAAAAAGAATCCAGGATGTGAACCTGGGGGTGGGGAAGTGCTGAAAGACGGATCATCGGAGAGAAGTGTACTCTTCGGTGGTAAGAGGATGATGTCAGGGCAGCAGGAACCTTCTAGTGTGTGCCTACAGCCACCAGGCTGGTGGAAGAGCGGCCATTCACGCCATGAGATTGATATTTGAGCAGCGTGAGTTAGCGAGGCCGTTCTTCTGGTGGATGCTTCAAACTGCATTCAACATGTAACCTGAAGCTGCACTGCACAACATCAAGATCAAGTGTCTAGCTTTGCGATGTATGTTGAATTGTATAGGAATCCTTCAGACCTCCATAGTAAACAACAAAGGCTCTCGGTGATACCATCCTACAAGTCGACCGAGGAACATACCGAGGGGACCCCGTTGCAATACAGCAATGTATGCAATAGGCCCACTCAGTGTAGCAAGAAATAAAGTTTGAAACAGCGGGTCAAACAAGTGGCATATGCTGATGACCTCACAGGAGCAAGGAGAAAAAGTGGAGGACATCAAAAAGTGGTGGGACCTGGTAACATCGCGAGGTCCATATAAATTTACCACCCTAACATAGCAAATCCGCTTCCTCATCCCGTGAAGCCAGATCATTATGATCCGGGCTGGCAGAGTTCGGCGAAAGTGAGGTTAAAACAACTAAGGACGGCCAAAGACATCTTAGCGCGTAATTGGGTTTCACGGACTTTAAGACCCAGTACGTAAGAAGAAATGAATAGTGGGTGTGAAATCCATGCTCTGTCAGAGTTGCTAACACAGAGCCATGCAACCTTTGCAGCATTCACATGGAGTCAACATCATTGGAACTACCTGATGCATGCCACCATCCCTGAGATCAAACCTCCTTGGAAAGAAAGCAATCAGTGTCAAGTTCATTCCCCAAACTAGTATGAAAACACCACGACTTAACCTAACAGAAAAAGAACACTTCTTGCACTTCACCAAGACTACTGGGAGGGATGGGACTAACTAATCCAGAGAATGCTGACTCTGAACATCAAGAATTCATAAGCTCACGGCAGCCCATCACTGACACATAATCGCCCAGAATGCAACAGGGAAGTGGACACAGCAAGTTAATAAGATCCACGTGGGTCCATTGCAACAGATCAGCAGAACTAGCAAAATGACATCATTGCAGCAACTATTGCTGCTGGTTCTGAAAAATTTGACAAAAAAAAGTAGCTATAAGCGCAGAGGTGGGCACTTACTCGAACTGGCTAACTACACGTTACCGATAAGGGCAAATGGTTTCAGCCTTAACAAACAAGAATTTACAGATGCCATTGCTCCCCAAGGTACGGTTGGCCCGGTAGAAGAATTTTGCCCTCCCCAGTAACGTCAATAATGGCTATTCTATGATAGCAAATCACGCCATGGTTTGCAGAAACTTCATATGCATGAGGCGCGGCGAATGGGGATCATCTGGCAAACATGTTGAAGAAATCTGTCAGGACGTCATGGTAGACCGACCCTCCTTCACTGGATGGCGAGATCTTCAACACAAGACTTCAGAGCACATCTAACAAGCCCGTGTGGACGTCAGTGCTCGAGAGTTCTGGACACTTGGGGACAGCAGGCTTTCTGTCGACATCCAAGTTTTTGATCCCATGTGCGTTTGTCACCGTAACCTGGCTCTCGATGCTGCATAGGAGAACGAGAACGACAGAGAAGGGCATATGGGAGAGAATTCAAAATGTTGATCAAGGGCAGCTTCACTCTAGTGTTCTGTACCTCACAAAGGTGGATGGGCCCCAAGTGCAAGATGTTTCTGCGCCAGACTCATGACTGATCTCGAACAGAAACTAGCAGCCAAGTTATGTCACAGCCTGGAGTAGAGATGTCGACTGTCCTTCTCTCATCAACTAGGTCGGCTTTGCTCTGCCTCAGCAGGAGACAGAGCTACCCTACTCCGACAACCTGCAGATATCTCGACTATAGAGGCTACAGTCACTGAATGCCGCATAGATCTGCAACTCAACTAATCTAACACAGATAGAGTAGTTCTTATGTATTAGGATATTTAATAATAAAATTAACAAATAAATGGTGGCGAGAATTGTGGCCTGTTGGGGGAGGTGGAGGCCAAAAAAAAAAAAGTAGTAGTAGTAGTAGTGGTGATGGTGGTAGTAGTATAGTAGTGGTGGTGGTGGTAGTGATGGTGGTGGTGGTAGTAATAGTAGTGGTGGTGATGGTGGTAGTAGTAGTAGTGGTGGTGGTGGTAGTGATGGTGGTGGTGATAGTAATAGTAGTGGTGGTGATGGTGGTAGTAGTATTAGTAGTGGTGGTGGTGGTAGTGATGGTATTAGTGGTAAAGGCGTCGACCACACCATCACACAACCATCAAAACCTTTACTACCAGATGAACGGAAACTCCAGGGTGTCGTAACTCTGTTATTAGTGACGCAGTGGTGGTCCTCCTCCAGTAGTGTGACACAGTGGGGGTCCTCCTCCAGTAGTGTGATGCAGTGGGGGTCCTCCTCCAGTAGTGTGGCACAGTAAGGACCCTCCTCCAGTGGTGTTACATAGTCCTGGTCCTCCTCCAGTAGTGTGACACAGTGGGGGATCCTCCTCCAGTAGTGTGACACAGTGGGGATCCTCCTCCAGTAGTGTGGCACAGGGGGTACTCCAGTAGGTGACACAATGGAGGGTCCTCCTCAGTAGTATGGCACAGTGGGGGATCCTCTCCAGTAGTGTGACACATGGGGATCCTCCAGTAGTGTGACACAGTGGGGGATCCTCCTCCAGTAGTGTGGCACAGGGGGTACCTCCAGTAGTGTGGCACAGTCCCTCCTCCAGTGGTGTTACATGTCCTGGTCCTCCTCCTGTGTGTGACACAGTGGGGGATCCTCCTCCAGTAGTGTGACACAGTGGGGGATCCTCCTCCAGTAGTGTGGCACAGTGGGGGTACTCCTCCAGTAGTGTGACACAATGGAGGGTCCTCCTCTAGTAGTATGGCACAGTGGGGGATCCTCCTCCAGTAGTGTGACACAGTGGGGGATCCTCCTCCAGTAGTGTGACACAGTAGTGTCGTCATCCTCATGTTGTATAGTAGGAATAACGAACAGTTAATTAGAATAATCATAAGCGAAACTAATAATAATAATAATAATAATAATAATAATAATAATAAAAATAATAATAATAATAATAATAACTTCCATTATATCTTAATAAATACACCATCACTTGTATGTTCTCAAGAGTCAGGTGATTACATTAGATATTCACAGAGTTCATTCATTGTTCTTAAAGTCATAATAACGGTTAAGTCTTAAAGTTATGTTTAGGGTCAGTTTGGTCTGTATAATCTTGTTTAAACTTGGTCTAGTATCACGAAGTTGAGAGAGAAGCAAGACTTTATCTGTTAGGTTGTAGGAAGTTGTTGTGGTGGTGGTAGGTACTGGTGCTGAGAGAGAGAGAGAGAGAGAGAGAGAGAGAGAGAGAGAGAGAGAGACCTACAAAGACAGACAAACAGACAGACAGACAGACAGAGATAGAGATCTACAAAGAGAAACAAGAGACAGAGATACAAACAAACAAAAAACACACCAACAGTTTACTAATGTTATTATACTCCATTGTCATAATAAATACAACTCACACTCTATATGACGTTAGTGTTTTTATGATTCATATAATAAAAAACATCGCACCTTTGTCTGCATGTTATTTTTTATTAGGGATGATAATGTCACTATACTGTCCACGCTGTAAAATATTGTGTGTGTGTGTGTGTGTGTGTGTGCGCGCGCGCGTGCATGCGTGCGCGCAGGGTGGTGTAATGCGTCTAGCGTGGCAGTATTATGTTAAGTGTTAAAATACAAGCACAACTTGCTTCCTGTCGCTTTCAGCTACCGCCACTGACTAGTTCACACCCTCCTCACCATCAAAAATCGTCTGTGCCTCCTCGTGGCAACACAAGGTAAATGGGCACCTTGTGGGCCCAGGCTAGACCAGCAGGGGATCAGAGGGACGGCGCATAGGCCCACTTGCATGTGGACAAGTCCTGGCGCCTACCAACCACCGCCCCTCTGCCTTGCGGATTAACCTTGGTAGGTATAAGGGTACGGGAGTAAACCCCAAACGAAAAATCTGGGTTGGAGCCCCGCATCAGGCAGACATGCTTACAGAGCTCCAACAAGATCCCCAACGCAACAGCAGTATAGGTGGAAGAGGTGACCAACATGGGAACCCAACGACTACACCGGAGGACGAAGGCAATGCATGATGGACAGGCTACTAAGGTGAAGTCCAAATAACTGCCCTATCGGCAGTCAATTGTGACTCTCCATCTCCCCAGTCGTTGGAACACTTACACCACTGGATCAGGAAAAGGGAGAGCCGATATGTGTGGTTTCAGTCTGTGCTCCTGCCTCACCATAGAAAAGGTTCCCTAAACATAACCTGACTAAAGAACCAACCTGACTGGTCAACCGCACCGAGTAAGGTCATCTCTATGTGGTCGAAAGCACAATTATAACTACAGATAAAATCAAAATCAAACTATACAACTTCTTATGGTCGCAGCATGGAATGTGAGGACCCTCCTGGATACTGGCACAAATGTGCGTCCTCAAAGAGGAACTGCCCTTGTGGCAAAAGAGGTGGCTAGGCATACCATCGAGGTAGCAGCCATTCGTGAGTCCCGGTTCCTAAGCGAGGGTCGCCTCACAGAACGGGTGTCTGGCTATACCTTCTTCTGGAAGGGTAAGGCTGCTGCGGAGAGAAACTGCATTTATGGAGTTGGCTCTACCATCAGCCAACGCATCCTACACAGGCTAACTGAAATGTTTGTTGGATCAACGAGCGCCTCATGACGCTCAGAGTCCCACTGAATCACTGATGTCATGCCTTTTTCATCAATGCATACGCTCCAACACTGGATGCAGAGGATGACATCAAGAAGGCCTTTTATGCCGACCTTGATAGAATGCTAACCTATATCCCCAGAGGTTGTGCTCCTTGGTGACTTCAATGCCAGAGCTGGCAGACATGCTGACATTTGGCAGGGAATCATAGGGAGAAATGGACTAGGCAAGTGTAATCCCTATCCCCTACTCCTGCTCAGCTATTGTACGCACACTGCTTCGCCAACACCAATACCTTGTTTAGGAAGGACGGCAAATGCAAGAGTTCGTGGCAACCCCCACGAACCAAACACTGGCATCTCATTGACTTTATCATTGTCAGAGAAAGAGATCGCCGAGATGCCCTCATTACCCGAACAATGCGTGGCTTAGACCACTGTGACACTGATCATCGACTCACAAGAGCCAAGCTATCACTTCACGTCTCCCCAAAACGGCGAAGGCAACAAACCTCCAGAAGAGGTTTTAACACTCAGCGTCTGGAGGATGCAGCAGTAGCACATGCTTTCAGAGAGCAGAGCCGAATAGGATATTCTCGACACTGTCATGACAAAAACCTGCAGAGACCCTCGTCCAGATCGAAAGAATACACCAGGACTGGTTTGATGAAAATGACCCGGAAATCAATACTCTCGTTGATGGTAAACGTGCTGGTTTAATTGACTCGGACCAAAGCTGATGCCTTCTGTAAGAAGAAGAAAGCGGCGGCTCATATCGACTGGTTTAAATATAGAGCATGTGAAATGCAAAATTTTCAGATCAACACGGGATGCGTGAATTTTTCAGTTCCCATAAAACATTTTATGAACCAATCACTCATGGCACAACCCCATCCGCTCATCCGACGGTAACTCCCTAAGTAAAGACGAAGAAGGCATCCGTCAGTGCAGGAAAGAGCAGTACCATTCGCTGCTCAACCGAAACACCGATGTGGATATCCTGACTACCCAGCAGGTCCCCCAGCATCCAGAGCTGACCCAATTCAGATATCCTCCTTCCCTGGATGAGGTAACTACCGCCATCAAACAGATGAAAAAATAACAAAGCCTCAGGGCCTGATGGAATCCCAGCCGAGGAGTATAAAGCAGGAGGATCTCTGACTACCAGCCGTTTCCACCCTCTCCAGGAGAATATATGGAAAATAGAGGATATTCCCCAAGCTCTTAAAGACACCTCGATCTTCAACAGTTATAAGAACAAGGGAGACCGGTCAGACTGTGGCAACTACCACTCGATCTTGCTGGCAAGACTATTCCCTGAGTCCTCCTATACAGACGTCTCCCTGAGGTGGAAAACTTTCTCTAAGAATCTCAATGTGGCTTTAGACCATCACGTGGCACCACTGACTTGATCTTTGCTTCCCGCCAGATATGGGAAAAGTGCAGAGAACAGCGTCGTAACCTGTACATGGCCTTCATCGACCCAACCAAGGCCTTCGACTCGGTCAACAGGAATGCCTTCTGGCAGACCCTTAGCAGGTTTTGGCTGCCCGCCAAAATTCATCGCCATTGTGAGGCAACCTTATGATGGCATGAGCAGCATTTGTCCTGCACAATGGCACCCAGTCTGAGTTCTTCCCCATCCAAACGGGGTAAAACAAGGATGTATGTTGGCTCCAACTCTCTTTTCCATTTTCTTGGCCTTCCTTACTCGTGCCAGTGTCAATTTAGCCGGCGGGGTGGACATCGAGTATCTGATGAAGGCTATTTTCGACACACGACAACTCCAGGCAGGAACAAAGGTGTCGGCAGCTTCCATTACTGAATTTCAGTATGGGTACGACCTTCCCCTTCTCGCTCACACTGAATTCGACCTACAGGAGATCCTGAACACCTACGCAGGTGCGTATGCACACTTCGGCCTTGAGGTGAATGTACATAAGACTCAGATTCTCTTTGAGACTGCCCCTGGTTCAGCCACACCTCCACCATCCATTCAGCTTAACGGAACTACCCTCTCTAATGTTACCCACTTTCGGTATCTCGACTTATCCACCACCGCAGGCATTGATAAAGAGATTCAACATCGGATCAGATGTTCATCTCAAGTCTTTGACACACTCCGTACCCTTATCTTCAACTGTAGGGAGCTAAAATTATCTACAGAGTTGCACGTATATCGAACAGTGGTCTTCCCCATCCTGTTATATGGCAGCGAGACATGGGTCACATACAGGAGGCACCTCAAGGCACCTGAAAACTTTCACCAGTATTCTCGCTGACACCAACTGTAGGAGCATCGAGGCTACCATTATCCATAAACAACTTCGCTGGACTGGCCATGTTACCCGCATGGGTGACAGTAGACTACCAAAGCAGCTACTTTACAGTCACCTAACGAATAGTAATCGCAACGTTGGCAGGCAACTGAAAAGGTATAAGGATAGTCTTAAGATAAACCTGAAGAGTCCCAAATCGACCCCCTCACCTGGGAGACGATTACTCCACACCGCAACGCTTGGAGGAGCACCACACGAGAAGGTGTCAATATTTTCGAGTTAGTCCTACTGCAATCCGAGGCAGACAAGCGCCAACGCCGGAAAGACGTTGTTGCCGCCCCTCCTGCACTAGATGGAGGCATCCACATTTGCATCATCTGTGAACGACCCTGCCGGTCCCGTATCGGCCTCTTTAGTCACCTGAAAACTCACCAACGAAGGTGACATCCTTAATAACTCATATCACTGTCTCATAGCTGGATGATCGTCATACTCGATTCTGTGACAACAAAGTAGTACTGTAGTAGTGTGTGTGTATGTGTGTGTGTATGTGTGTGTATGTGTGTGTGTGTGTGTGTGTGTGTGTGTGTGTGTGTGTGTGCCAGTTTATACACTGTTGGTCAAAGGAATTGTTTAGTATTTATCACACTCCCTCTCGCTCTCTAACTCACTAAATCATTCATTCAATCACTCACTCGCTTCCGCACTCATCGTATCTCGTTCATTCACTCACTCA